CCGCTGTCGGAAGAAGCCGCAGGGACCACCGGCGGGGATGGGGGCTGGGAAAATCAGCATGGGACGGGGACGGGGACGGTGAGGGACTGATTTAGGGTGACAAGTTTGTAGGAATGGCAAACGAGAAGACAGATTCATCAAACGAAATATCTCGGGTATGAAAGAAACGATGAGACTCAAGATCATAAACCCGCCAACCTTTAGTACCGGTAGGATACCCCATGAACATACATTTGAGACTACGAGGGTTGAATTTATTGGGAGGGCGTTGAATATTGCGGACAAAACAGAGACACCCAAACACTCGGAGGTGAGACAAGTCTGGAGGTTTTGAAGAAAGTAGTTCAAAAGGAGATTTACCTTGTAAAAGTGGAGTGGGTGTATGATTTATGAGATAAACAGTTGTACGAACACATTACCCCCAAAACTCAAGAGGTAAAGAAGCTTGAAACATTAAAGATCGTGCAACATTTAGAATATGACGATGCTTACGCTCAACCCGACCATTTTGCTGTGAAGTATTGACACAAGAGGTTTGAACAAGAACTCCTTTACTTGCATAAAATTCACGAAGGGGCCGGTTGAGGAACTCAGTACTGTTGTCAGAACGAACAACTTTTATGATTTTATTGAACTGAGTATGAATAAGAGAGAAAAACTATTTCAAGCAACTAGTAACTTCACTTTTCTCAACAAATAGAAAATAATGAGACCCAGTAGAAATGCAGGGAGAGTATGGTCTCCATAAATCACAATGAATTAAATCAAACAATTGTTCTGCTTTATTGATACTGGGAGTAAAATGAGAATGAGTTTGTTTGGAAAAGAAACAAATATCACAAGACTGAAACTTTTTAATGTCACTAGTGCTTTTATTAAATGGAGGAAAAGATAAAACTTGAGGAGAGCGATGGCCAAGACGCTGATGCAGCAAGGAGACGGACTCGGCTTTGAAAGCATGGGCTTGGGATGGAAAGACATAGACTTCGTTGCGTGCTTCACATTGACCAATCCGCGTCTTCGTAGTGCGATCTTATAGCACACAAAAATGGTCATCAAAGAAAACATGACAGTTATGTGAGTTTACAAGGCAACTAACAGAAATCAAATTGCACTTCAAATTAGGAACATATAAAACATTGTGCAAGGTAAGAAACGGAGACACTTGCACACGGCCACAAGAATTTGCTACCACATGAGTCCCATTGGGCAAACTTATGGTGCAAGGAGACCTTGGTACTACATCAGTCAAACACGAAAGCATTCCTGTCATGAGAAGCTCCACTATCAATTAGCCACTCACCTTGCTCCATGGAAGACATACCACACAATTCCAGAATACAAAAGTCCCAAAAGAAAAGAACCCAAGCAGAGCAAAAAATGAAAAAGCTGCTGTCTCAAACCAATTGAAGAAGATCACACTGAACAAAAATTAGGCAAAACCCATCCATGTGCATAATCCAATTGCAAACAAAGAGTGGCAACTACTGCAATTTCGGTCAACAGGATATGATTCCAAAAAAAATTGTCACAATCCAATTATTTCCTGGTCTGTGACTCTGTGCGATTGCCGAACAGCAAAGATACGGAAGTGGCTTTGTGTTATTATTTGTATCACGGCTAAGCAACAGCAACAACACGATCCAAATTAGGCAAATAACTCACGATCAAGTCTTCGTTTGAGAAGAAGAGATCTTGATCGGCAAATACGGCATCGACAATTGACTCGCGGGAGAGCAGAGACGCATAGGAGCCCAGGGTTTTGGCTCCGATACCAGAATTTTAGCTGAATTTTACTAATTCGTATTATCCTTCTCACTATGACATATTTGAGTTAGAATATTTGTAATTTGGTTGCTTGCTTAACGTTTTTGTGGGATATTTGTCTGGAGGGTGATATGTGTAGGCTGAACTATCATGGCGGCGATAGGGACCATTCTGGCAAGTTATCTTCATCATTGGCTCATCTATGCACAAGTTTTCTAAGCATACCAAGAATGTGTATTTTATAATGCCATTTACCTGCAGGTTTGCGTAATGCCAAACTTGAAGGTCTTCACAAAAAGATGTGTGTTGTTTTCATTTATTCAACACAAGAGTAAGTTGTGACCCTTATTTCTATTATATTTGAGCCACCAGTATCATCATTATTATGTTATCTATAGTCAAAATGTATGAAATTCATAACAGATCTTTACTTTCTGAACTGTCTGCATATAGATTTGCTACGAAAAGAAGCATTTTTTTCGTTATTACATTAAAGAGCCAATGGAGAACTGAATAGAAACTCATTGATATTTTCATTACTCTAACAGTGTTTTGAAGGTATTTGTAGTAGTTTTATTTTTTAACACAACCAGAATTATAGTGTATATTTTCAAGGGAGCAATCTTTGAAAAGACAACAGCATGATGTTCACCCTAAACCAGTCACATGGGAATGCTTTTAAAGGATCAATTCATTTTGATGATTTTGCAATTAACAATAAAATTACAAATGTCTAAAATCCAAATATCTCATCACTGCTCTGCCCCCAAAAAATTGGGTAGTTTCTTCATTGGCTTATGGTACATTTTGTGATATGCCAAAAAAGATTGATTACAGAGAAAAACCATGTATGAATCTCTAACCTATTGCATTATGTGTTAGTGTTTGATGATTTCATCAGTACTTTTCATAATTTAATGTTATGGAACTTCTTTAATTGTCTATATGTATTCCATATTCTATCGACTTGGCCCTATTCGTGAGTGGGTAACACATATTCTTGCAATGATGCTTCCCTCTAACCGGATTCTTGAGGTATTTTTTATGTTCGTTTTGGTTTCTTCCCAAGGTAACATTAAACTCGTATATTATTATTTTGGGGAAGCATAAAGATTTTTCTTTATATATTTAATAAGGTTTTACATGTTTTGATTAAAACACCATACTCTGTTATCATTATTTTTTCTCACGTTTTTACTATGTTGTTTTCAATGTATTGTTCTTATATTAACCTGATCTCATTTAAGTTGGTTTGAAACAAGATAAGAATAAAACCATGTCCAAACATATATCTAAGATTTAGAACAGGAAAAAACATCGGTCTTATGAAGATGATGATTGGTACTGAATTTATTTCTTACTTGCTTCACTATTTTTCATATCGTTAATCGCACTATAGTAAGGGATTAGTTTTTTATTGGAACTTTGTATCTTGCAAGTTAGTTACCTGTACTTGTTGGGATTTAGTGTATAGGGTTAGACCACAAACTGTTCTTTGGGTGGGAAAACATTTCAAAGGTGGAGTCTTTTTTTGATGTTCCAATACTTGGATGAGCTTCGGTGTGCTCCTGACAATTTTACTACTGTCAACATGCAAGAAGGTAAATTTTAGATGGGCTTATTTATGAATTTGTCACGGTATTGACTATTGATGAAAATTCAACTTTTCTTATGTAATGTGTTAGTTTCAAATGTACAGAGGTGTAAGTTTGCTATCACTATGCATATATGTGAGTGGAATGCACATAAAGATTGACAATTATTGAACCATTTGGATGTTTATCCTACGAGCTGTTCGTGTCTACTTTGTTCCGGCTTGGGCAAAAGGGGAGAATTCAATGAAAGTGATCTTTCATGATGAATATTTATATATATTTACTTTTTTTTATTATTTGATTATATGTTATTATTATAATTTAATTTATCATTTTTTTCATCAATGCTTTCCCTAATTATATAGTTTATAATTAGGCCATGTAACACACGGGTACGAGTCTAGTGTAGATTGCGACAAAATAATCTCAGTCCGCCAAGAAGAGAATCAAACATACCCCTACCGTTCAGTGTCATACTGAACGATAGGGAGGGAAGGTGGACAAAGATGCCGTAGGAAGGAAGGAAGATGGAGAAATAATTGCCACCATATAAAAAAGAGTAAATTTTCAAAATTGTCATTTGTAATAAGGTATTTTCTCAAATCAATACTCAATAAGTTTTATCTACTTACATGGTCCTCTATAAGTAAAATTTATTCCCAAGATAGTCTTCCATAAATAATCTTATTCAAATGATGATTCATTGAAAATATTTTTTATATGCAAAATTTAGAATAAATTCTTAAAATGATCATTTATAATGAAATGCTTTCCCAAAATTGTTTTTTCTAATTAATGATGTGTATTTGGTTCGAAATGTAAAAGATTTTTTATAAATTTTTAATAATTCATGGATTATTTATATAGTTAATGTATTTTTTTAATTTTATATTTAGTTGTACAGAAATGACCGTTTCGAAAACATATACTTTAAGTTTAGATGATAAAAATAACAAAATACTTCCAATTAATCATCATTTGGGTAACATTATTTACGAAGGACTGCGAGGGCAATTAAAATTTATTGCGGGCTAATTTAAGAGAACTGCGAGGGCAATTAAAATTTATTGCGGGCTAATTTAAGAAAATACTTTATTACAAAAGACTATTTTGAAAATTTATTTTTAGAAAAAGTATACTTTTTTATTTGATTAAAAATTAACTTAATTATCACTTCTTTGTATAAAAGAAATGGTTAGGCATCGCAAGGCCTAATTGGCTAGTGCATGAATTACAAAATGATTGTGCAAGAACTAAAGAGTACTAGATACTTCTTAGAGCAACACAAAAGTCCTTAAAAGCCCCTTAAAAGCGCCCACTCGAAGATTAGATGTCACCCAAAATTTCTTGGAGAAAAATTATGTTACCTACTTACGTACTTTGTAAAAGTTGCCAATTCAACAAACTTCCGTATGTTAACCAAAAGGAGCATTAAACATTATTTCCTCCGTCCCAAAAAGATTTACACTTTTCAAAAAAATTGCGTCTCACAATCTCCTACTCATTTCTATTAAAAAACCACTTTTACCCTTACTTTTTCAAACTCTATCTATCACATCATACCTTTTTTCTAATAATCTACACATCACATCCTACTTTTACCCATCACATCAAAGGTATTTTTGGAAAGTCAACACAAATTTAACCCTCCCTTAATTTCAACTTTAGTCAAAATGTGTAAATCTTTTTGGGACGGAGGGAGTACAATACAGGAGTTAACCAAACTTCAAAATAAAACCCAAATTTTGACACCATTGTGGATTGAAGTAAAGATTCATACTGATGGAAACTACTAATCAATGAATCTCTACCGCGCGGGAAGCAATAATATCCTTCAAAACATTAACCAAATCATTCAAACCTTTAATCAAGTCATTCAAACCACTCCCACCCAACAGCACCACATCCTTAACCAAATCTCCCCCAAGCACTTCTCTTATTATAGCCCCAAATGCTTCCATCAACGCGCCGGGATTTGTGGCAAGGCCCCATAAACCCAGGCCAGACGCCCGGTCCAAGGCACGGGCAATGGACCGGGCCCGGGCAGCGCCAGCGGCATCTCCGCGGGCAGCGCGGGTGTCGGCAATGCCACGGAAGAGCGCGTGAGACGCGAGGAGAATGGTTTGGTAGCGGAGAATAGAGCCCAGTATGAACGCCATTTCTCTGAAACTCGTCTTGAGTTTATATGTAAAAGTAGCAGAAAAATGAGCAAAAAGAAAAATGAGCAAAAAGAGGTGTGTAGGCCGGTATTTAAAAAGTGGCCGCGGCCTGTTTTACATTCCGAGGTGCTTCGGAAACTCTTCCAGCAGCCGACTTTTCAAGGGCGGCGAACCTTTCAGTTCGTTTCTCAAGCTAAATTTAATCATCTGCGCCTCGTTTTTATATAAGCGTTTTCGATTAGCGTTAGCGTTTTGGATAAAATTTTAACGGTGCAGATTAATTCTGAAAACGCTAACGCTAAAGGCTACCGTCGGATAGCTTTTTCAAAACTCTAACGCTAATCTCTGACGCTGATGTCAAACAGGGCCGTTATATAGGGTTCAACTTTTTTAATCTCTAAATTATACTCCTTCCTTTTAAAATGTTTTTTTCCCGTTTACTTTTTACATGGTCAAACTTGAATCATTTTCTTTACCTAGTTTCATTAAGTATTTGGTAAAATAATATAGTCTTGTCACCACTTGATTTGTAAAACTTTTGATGTAGTTTTTAAATATATAAATTTTATTTTTTAATGTTACACCTACAATCAAATAAATTGAATTGAAAATAAAGTCAGTCAAACCTTGTAAACACAAACGAGAAGAATATAATAGGACGGGGGGAGTACTTAATAACGTCTAGTGGGAGGAATAATATCGAGAGATGGTAGACATTTACTTGAATAGTGACTAACTGATAATGACCAATAGTCCTAAATTAGGAAATAAAATTATATGATCCCATATGAAAAAGTCATTATGTTTTAATCATATTTAGGTAATTTTCATATACTTAAATAGACCAAGATATATATCTAAATAGACCTAAAACATGACGTGTTCTCAAATAAGGCCTAGCGGTGTGCCGCACAGGAAGGACCTACTAGCGCGGGAAAGGAAGGGGAACACCCCCAATGCGGGGAACGGGAAGAGCTCGTCTCTTTTCCTGTTTTTTTTTTCTTTTTTTTTATTTTTGCCTTTTGGTTTTCTCCCTTTTCGTCTTTCATATTTTTGTTGCTTCTTTCTTCTTTCTTTATTCTTTTAGAATATTTTGTTAGTATGGTAGAAATTACCCTAAATAAGACTAAAACATAAAGAAAAGCTCTAAAATAGGACTTTTATGTTTTTTTCTCGAAATAAGATTTCGTACTATGGTAATGTGACACCATACATCTGCACATTACTATACTTTTTTGGTAATGTACATGACCATTTTTGATAATATAAGTCCTATTTCGTAAATAAAAACATGCAAGTTCTATTATGGTATATATATTCAATGTTTTAGTCCTACTTTAGTCTTTCTCTCATTTTGTTACTTCTTTTCCTTTTTTGCTTTTAATTGTTCTTCAATTTTTTGATTTTGATTTTTTTCAATTTTTCTGTCTATTAATTTATTTTTTTATTTTTATTTTGACTTTTTGTAAATTTGTATTACTCCCTCCGTCCTTGAGTATTTGTCCACTTTTGACTTTTTTGGTCAAAATTGGTAAACTTTGATCTCAAATTAAATAAAAATAAAATTAGGCAATAATATAAAAATAGTTTTATTAGATTTATTATATAAAATAGTTTCATAATATTATTTTATCTAATTAATATACCATATACATTTCATTTAATTATAGGTCAAAGGTTGAAAACTGTTGACCGAAAAAGTCAAAACTAGACAAATACTCAGGGACATAGGTAGTATTTAATTGTATTTTATGTTTTTAGTTTAATTATTTTAATTAAAATAAGTCTTAAAAAAAGTTTAATTTATTTTTTTATTTGTGTACATTAATTATTTAATGTATCAATTTTATTATACTTTTAATTTAATTTTAATGTATCACTTTTAATAAATCACTTTGAATTTTAATGAAATGGTTAATTATTATAGATTTAATAAAATAATAGTTTGAATTAAATTTTTATTATTTATATTTTTAGTTTAGTTAGTTATTTAAATTAAAATAAGTGTTAGAAATAATACTCCATTCTAAAAATTGAAGGGGAAAAGCAGGAAACATTTTTCGGAAAGTGGAAGGCATTTCTCTGGAAGCGAAAGAGAAAGGGAAGGAAAAGTTGAAACTGACGCGATGCTAAGGCCATGTTCCGTTCATCTTATTTTTTATTATTTTTCCTTATTCTTATTAAAATCAGATCAGACTAGACCAGATCATTTCAGATCAGATCGAATCAGATCAGATCAGATCAGAACAAATCAGATCAGCTTAGATCAGATCAAATCAAATCAGACCAGATCTAATCAGATCAAATCAGATCCAATCACATCATATTAGACCAGATCAGATCAGATCCCATAAAGAATTATTATTGTTGTTGTTGTTGTTATTATTATTATTATTATGATTATTATTATTATTATTATTATTATTATTATTCTTCTTCTTCTTCTTCTTCTTCTTCTTCTTCTTCTTATTCTTCTTATTCTTAAAAAATGAAAAAGAATAAACTTTAGAAACAAGTTAAATAGAAAACAGAGAAATTAATCCTTAATTATTAGACGTCAAAAAAATTATTTTTAAAATACATTGACAATGTCAATCTAATTCTACTTTTAAAATACATTTTTATTGCTACCTATAATTTGAGTTTCAAAAGTTTGATCTTCTATAAGGTTGAGATATTTTAATAAAAATACTATCTCTTCTCTGTATTGATTTTATATAAATTAAATATTTATTCTAATGTATGTATGAACTAATTATTAAAATATTAAATCAATATTCTTATTTCACAAACAATAATCATAAAATAAAAAATATTATTACATTAAAATATGAATGATTATTCTAATACATAAATTAACTAATTTTATTTTATTAAAAAATAATTATAAAATAAAAATATTGATTATATTATAATATGAATTATCATTACAATTTTCAAACGTTATTATAAACTCAAATCAAATCATATCATAATTAATCAGATCAGATCCAATCAGATGAGATCATATCAGATCAGATCCAATCAGATGAGATCATATCAGATCGGATCCAATCAGATGAGATCAGATCAGATAAGATCCAATCAGATCAGACCAGATCAGATCAGATCCAATCAGATCAGACCAGATCAGATCAAATCAGAACTACAAAAAATTAGATCAGATCAGAAAAAATAAGTTGAACGGAAGAGCCTAAGTTGGCGAAGGAAAAAAGGGGAAGGCACGTACACCTGATGGCATAACTACCTTGGCATCATAAAATTATTTTACTCGGTATAATAGTAGGTTCATAATTAATAGGAGTAAAAAAACATTTTAAATGAAAGTAGAAATATTTTTTTAGATAAAAAAAAAGGTGGAAGTGTAAAAGCTTTGGGCAGAGCGAATATAAAATTATACAAATGTTTTAAAATATTGAAATTAAATGATTAATGTTTGGAAATGTATTGAGTTTATATTTATTAGGGGTGGACAAACGGGCCTGGAACCGCGGGTCGGAACCGAACTGCACGGTTTGAGGCGAGTTAGGACCGGGTCCAAAATCTTATCTTTGAAAACAAGCCGGGCCGGGGCAGGTTCTTTAGAAAAACAAATCGGGCCGGTTCCTAATATTTTAGAAACAAATAGACTCTTACCAGCTTGTTTCCCGTAATTTACTAAAATTTTAAAGATACAAAGTATTAAATAAATTATATTATACCCAATATTGAATTTTAGTATTTTTCATCAAATTGTATTAATAAATAAGTTCTACTCCCTTCGTCATATAATGTTCTTCCCGGTTCTGTTTACGAAGTTTGACCGACTTTATTTTTAATTCAATTTATTTGATTGTAGGTGTAAAATTAAAAAATAAAATTTATATATTTAAAAACTACATCAAAAGTTCTACAAAACAAGTGGTGACAAGACTATATTATTTTATCAAATACCTAATAAAAATAGGTAAAGAAAGTTATTAAAGTTTGACCGTGTGAATAGTAATGGGAAGAACATTTCAGGACGGAGGGAGTATATGGTATATTCAATATTCTATTAATAAAATTATCAATATAATAGTTAGTAAAATTTTAGTCGTTAATCACATTTTTTCTGAGAAATGCTAAATTCGATCACAAACAAAATGGTCACAAACTTACTAATTGTGAACTTCAACAAAAATTTGAAATTGTCTAAAATAATTTTAAAATAAAAAATTAGATCATAAATGGTAGGTTTGTGAATTTTGTGACCATTCTGTTTGTGAAGGTAGCATTGTTCTTTTTCTTATTAGTTTTACAACTTCAATTGGTGAAAATCCTTTATTGGTTGAATATTGTAATTCATTTTTATTTCGTTTATGAAAATCATGGATTAATTTCAAAAAGTGTATTATTCTGTTGACTATTCTCATTTACGTTGTTTATTTGTTCGTGATATATTTTAAATTCCTAATTTAATAGAAAAACTCACAAACCAGCGAACCCGCAAGACCGAATCGTTTGAAATAAGCTGTGTTAAGACCGATTCTAAATATTTTTTTCAACAACTCGGCATGTCTCGACCCGTTAATTCTAAAAACAAGTCGGGGTCCGTCCTATAAAAAAATCAATCACCCCTAATATAAATTGTACTAAGACACAAATAAATCTAAGTTAATACGGAAAATTAGAGTTTGACAAAAAGTTTGGCACCATATATGTCTTTCAGAAGTAATGCTGGTACGTGTGATCGAGGTATAATTCTGTGTATATCAGTGAAACACTTAATATCAAATTATGTATCAAATAAAGTGTGACTATAGCATGGTCCTTGAGATGTAACTAAATTTATAAATCATTAAAATTTGAAGATGTCAGTATATACTCGTATCACATGCAATGTGGCATTGCCATGCGTGCATATTTGTTTTTATATTAAAAAATTACTATTTTATTACATTTATAAAATCTTTCACTTTCTAACATTAATAATGATTTTTTATTATGTATTATTCATTGTAACATATTTTAAATACAAAAACTAATTTTATTAATTTAAAAATTTATATATTTTTTATATTTTTTAAATAATTAAAACAATTCACCATTTAGATATAACCAGTATTTTTATTAGATTTTTACAAAATCATTCACTTTCTAACATCAACTAACAATAATTTGTATAAACCCTTCACCTTCTAGCTAACCATTTTAGAAAAGTCTTTTTCATTACCGTCTTTTTCATTACTTATATATATGCATCACAATATCATTCTTTAAAAATGTTATATAAAGTTTATTAAATAAAAAATCAACATACTATATATAGTTTTTAAATTATCCAAAATTTATATTTCTATTACTTCTAAAAGACTCTTAAATATAATCATAGTATATTTACTTTAGTTTTATTTTATTTTACTCCCTCTGTCCTAAATCTATTAGACCAAGATGCATTTCACTACTTTCATTAATTAAAAGATGTTATATAAATTTTATTTTTTATAAATATTTAAAAGTATTCACCATTTAAAAATAACCATTAATTTTATTAATTTTTTTTAAAACTACTCTTTACTTTCAAACATTAAATAACCATAATTTTTATAAACACTTCACTTTCAATTCATTTTATAAATGTCTTTTTCATTACTTAAATATATGCATCATTATATCTTTATTTTAAAAAGTGATATAAAATTTATTAAACAAAAAATCAACATTGTATATATAGTTTTTAAACTATCCAAAATTTATATTTTTATTAGTTCTAAAAAGACTACTCCGTATTAAATAAATTTATCACATATGTAAAATTATTAAATATATAATATATTTCAGAACTTTAGATTTATTTTATTAAAATCCTTTGTCCCAGAACTATTAGACTAATATGCATTTCACTATTTTAAAATGGAGTATATAGTTTTCATGTACCTAATTAGATTTATATATATAAAGTATATGATGATTTATTTAAATTATTCATGATTTCCCTTTTTATCACTTTTCAACACAAAGATTCATTAAAAATTTAATTCATGTAAACCAATATTTAAATTAAACTTCTATTACAACATAGATTCGCTACATATGTGATAGTTAAAAAAATATTTATATAACACTTATTATCTAACTATTAAGAAAATTAAATAAATGGAAATAATTTTTATAAAATATTAAAAAGTTAAAATGTAAGCGAGTTCGGGCGAAACACGGGAATAAAGCTAGTTGTTATTAATATTTTCAAACAATGAGAGAGTACAACATAGGGGTGGGCAAGAATCGGGTTCGGGTTCCACCCGCATTATTTTAGACAACCCGACAGGATTGCGGGTTTTTCAAGATACTTTCTGCTATTTCAAATTCAGATCTCTTCAAATGAAAGACTATTAATAGGTGAAAATGATGGCTAAAGTTGACATGTAATCTTAGGCCCCATTTTCTTAAACTTATTTCTACTACTCATTACTTATTATTATTCGAAGATCAATTAAAATCAGATTAGTTAAGATCAGATCAAATCCATTCAAATCAGAATTAAAATTATTATTATTTGAATTCGAATTTGAATAAAATAATAATTATTATTATTATTATTATTTTATGATTTGTGCACGAGAAAGGGGGGACCAAAACGGTACATAAGCAGTAATTTTAGAATGGGTGTGTTTGGGAATATCGTTACTATTAGAGTTTTGAATGCATTTGAGAGTTATTTTTTAAGAAAAAATTTACCTAAATAATACTAAAACATAGTGACTTTTCCAATGTAATACAATAATACCATAAGTTTTTATTTCCCAATGTAGTATCACTGGTTATTATTCAAGTAAATTTTCAGCGTCACTGGACATTGTCCGAACTAAAATGTCCACCATTATTGGACATTGTTCCCACCACTAGACATTATTCAAGTACTCCCTCCGTCCTAAAACTATCTTCCCAGTTACTATTCACGCGGTTAAACTAAAACACTTTCTTTACCTATTTTTGCTACTTATTTGATAAAATAATATAGTCTTGTCACATCTCGTTTTATAGAACTTTCAATGTAGTTTTTAAATATGTAAATTTTATTTTTTAATTTTACTCCTACAATCAAATAAATTGAATTGAAAATAAAGTCGGTCAAACCTCGTAAACACAAATGGGAAGATGGTTTTAGGACAGAGGGAGTACTATTTAGGAAATAAAAAAGTTTAACTACTACATTGGGAAAAAACATATATTTTAGGACTATTTAATGCAAATTTTACATTTTTTAATGATCATATTAAGAAAACACTAATTCTAAAAGCTACATGAACCTAATGCCAAAACATATAGAGTGGGTACTGCTGAATTGTGAAAGGCATGCTATTTTGGACAATAAGAGGCCACAGAGTTTTTTTAAATCTAATTCAGCATTCAAAGTGTATTAGTAATATTCACAAACATAATAATCTTACAGGCAAGCGATTACAAATCATCCCTTCGAGTCGAAGAAGTGGAAGTAAACTGCAAAGCAATAGCCTTCAGAACTTGGATCAACCCCTTCAAATCGTTGCCGCCCAACTCCAAGCAATCCTTGAGTAAGTCTCCCTCCCACACTTCTTTTTGGACCGTCTCCATTACATCCCGCAATGGACCCTGGTTTCCCATCATTACAAGCAGTCAAGCACACAAGCATTCACACCAATCAAAACGAAACAAAACCAAAAAGAAAACCGAAAAACAAAGGTTTTATGTAGGTTAGCCTTCTCATTGTTTATGTGCAGCACAATGCACGCAAAGCTCGGTGTTAGATAATTTGTCAGGAAGAAATTTGTTAACACGATACCTGCCCTATGGGGATGAAGGGGCATAAGGAATCACCTGCAGCGACTCCATGTTTGGGAAAACTTGCACAAAATCAATCTGGTTTTTGAATTGAAATCAATCTTATAGTAACTCTACCACGGAGTTGCCACCAACTACTTCACCCTGGCCTCCTGATACTGATTTAGTGAATCTATACTTTATGCTAGTAATGCTACTAGTACTAGTGTCCACTAATGGTTTGTCATCATCAACCAATCATAGGCATTTTCGACATCACTCAACAATCCAACGAAGCACACATGTTTTGGGTAAAATCTAACATTTTTCCAATGCTCTAAAAATTTCTCCAAGACATTAGGCTTCCTTTAGCCGCCTACGACTTATCCTCTCCCAAGCACAACTATGCCTTGATTAAACCCTAGCTAAGTGTGCCTAGATGATGGGCTCTAGTTTACCGCCTAAGCCTAAGGAACTTCTAGAGCTTTTAAGTACACTAGATTTGCCAATATGCACCCACAATCATATTTTGCCATGTTTTACCATTAATCACCCACTTAAAGTACACGGTTGCATTGTTGTTATTGTTGTTGTATACGGTTGCAAAAGAAGAGTGCATAGCATCATTCCAACGAAGTTTTGAAAACATGAACTCAAGCATAATGATATGAATCAATGTCTAAATTAATGAAGAAATTTTTAGTATATCACTACAAAATTACAAAGAAATCACCCGAAATAGAAACAAAACATGCCCTTAGTACTAAAATAAGAGTTACATGTTTACTATTGCACGATAACTTATATGTTGGTATTATTGGTCATATTTTGAGATAGGTACTATTTTGGTTCTATCTTTATATTTTCCTCGGTGAGGTTCTACTGACACCCGGAGTACGGTAGCACTCCGGTGCTACTGTCATTTGAGACACTTTCGTGCTCCATTTGCAAAATTGATGGTTCCTACCCTCTAATCACCACCTAAACCCCCTACCCCAGCCCCACCCCTGCCCCCACCCCTAAACCCCCTCCAAATGTGTGGTTAGGGGAAGGAATCATCAATTTTGCGAGTGTACATTGAATTTTAGTGTCAACGGAACACCACCCTATTTTCCTTCTGTTTTAGTCTTTCTCCTAGAATTCCAAAATTATATGCAATTTGAACTACAAGATATGAGAATGGAAGAAAAGAGAATGAAAGGGAGGGAGAACATACAGATTGTCGAAACACCTTGAGCAGTTTACCAGAGAGATTCTTCGAGATTCTAAGGACATTTCGGTAATTACCGCTCACCCACGCAACCCTCTCTGCATCCGATCCGAACCGAGTCAACTCTCCCAAAGCTCCGAGCAACTCGTTCAGGTCAGAGACGGCGCCAAGCATCTCGAACGACGTCGCATCTCTCCAGGCGTAGTTCCTCGCGTAGTCCCATCCGAGATTCAACATAAGCTTCCAGAACCCAAGTCCGAGCCCCCTCTCAATGCTTCCGGCGACTGATCGTGCCCGGGCGGCGCCAATTGCATCGCCGCGGGCGGCGCGGTGGTTGGCGACGCGGTCGAAGAGCGAGTGGGTGAGGGAGACAAGGGTTTGGTAGTTATAAAATGGCGAGTGAATCGAGGAAGATGAAGGCGTGGGCTTGCAGAGAAGAAGGAGAAAGAAGAACAGGAGAGAGGCGGGCATAGCGGCGGCCATGGCTGCTGGGATTAATTCAGTCCAGACGGCAGTGTTTGGAAAGCCAAATTAATACTCCCTCCCTCTCTTACACTCTTTCTCCTATCCTTTTTTCTTCTTCCACTAACTCTTTCTTTATCTATTAAAAAACTATTTTTACCTTATAGTTTTTCATAATTTACCAATTACTTCATACTTTTTTATTAATAATCTATCCATCATATCTTACTTTTACTCATCACATGAAAGACATTTTTAGAAAGTCACCACCAAAATATTCATCCATTAATTTTCCAAAAAGTCAATAAGGAAACGAATTTAAGGGACGGAGGGATTACAAAGTACTTCATTTGGATGAAAGAGAATGAGAGGACAAAAACAAGAAAAAAAGAAAATTAAGAGTTTTTTTTGTTACAAGAAAAATATTTTGCAGAAAAATGACTTCAAGAAAATTATTTTCTTTCCACATTTTTTATCATTTGATATGAAGAAAATTATTTTATCCAAAAATATTTATAATTGTTAAGATTTCAAAATTGATATTTACAAATACCCTTTAAAGAGGATTTTATGGGCAAGCAGCATAAGATGGGTATCTTGGCAGGGTAGGGATTGATGGTACTAGATAGCGAGTGCCGGAAACTTGTGGGGTGGGAATAAGGGGTAAGGGTTGGGTGGGTTGGATAAGCGGGGTGAGTGTGAACGGGGTAGCAGGGTAGGAGGCGGGAGGGAGGTGAGTGAGTAGAAATTTTCTTTTGAAAACAAATAGAATGGTTTTACCTTGATGGAGAGAATAGTTTCCTTGAAAATGCTTTTCTATTACTTATATTGCCAAACATTCTAAAATGGAATCAAAATTTTCATAGCACAAATATTGCTGCGTGGAACCTTTTCCCGTCCCAACATCGATTAATTGGTAGATGAGGTGGTAAGATGCGAGTTAATGAGTTTGATGGATAGGGATGACAAAAGATCGAATTTTGGTTCATTGAAGCTTCACCTTCATCCATCCATTAATTTTATATTAACCCTTCGATCAACAAATCATGTGTCATTTAGATCACCCATCATCTGATCTATCCATCACTCGTAGGTGAAACGGGTGATATGGATGAAATCGAGTGATATAAGTAATAAACCTTTAATCATTAATTTCATGAAATAAAAAATTTATGAAGCGCATAACATAGTAAAAACTGTTGGAAAATAAAAAACTAATGATATTTGTGATGAACTCATACAAAGAAACACTTTTCTAATATAGTGTAATGTAAATATTATTGTTTGGTGAGAGTAGAAATGTGGCGACATTAGAAATGTGGCACTGGTGTTGGTATAATTTGGAATTAGCACCAGTTGTCCTTGCATTGAAAATGTGGCGACATTACTTGTTTGGTGAGAGTAGAAATGGGAAATAATCACATTAGATTTTGTGATAGGTCTACCCTGTAAAATAAGAAGAACAATGTCATTTTTCATATCATGGACCAATTGACGAAGTCAACTTATTTCTTACCTAATAGACCGAGACTTTTCTTTATATCTGTGCTCGAAAACCTGTGCCATGAACCAACCCCTACTGTGTGAATATGATTGCTAAACATGTTATGCTGTAAGATGACAAGGTGGATGAACCGTTGTGACGCAATGATGATAAAACAAAAAGACATACATTTTTCCGGAGAGGTGCTACGACATTGCTGTTGGGAACTTGAACAGTATTGGTTGGTTGTATTTGCAGGATTTAATGGGAAATATGGAGGTTTTGAAGTATAATGACGTGATACTCAGAGCTTCATACATGGATGCTTTAGGGAGTCATTGCTACTTGAATGATCAAGTCATCGGGTTCTACTTCAGTTACTTGTCGTCCTTGTGCAGTCAAGATGATGTTGCCTTTGTTCCACCTTCAGTGTCCTTTTTTTGGCAATCTGCGATGAGGAAAGCCGCAAAGATGCTGTGGATCACCTCAAATTGGGCAACAAGCGCCTTGTTCTATTCGCTGTCAACGATAGTGACGAGTTTGGTGTGGGTCAGAGTGGATCACAATGGAGTATCCTCATATTCGACAGAACTAAACACTCCTTCCTTCATCTGGATACTATGCAAGGGGAGAATCACATCCCTGCCTTCAAACTCTATGATTCGGTGAAGCAATATGTTGGTGTGGAATCAGCCTCAATAAAGGAGGGGGCTAAGAATAAGAAGAAGAATAAGAATAAGAAAAAAGCTGCAAACACTGCCGTTGCTTCCATTGAGGTGTCCTTTAAGGAGTGTGAGGCTCCTCAACAAACAAATGGATATGATTGCGGAGTGTATGTGATGGCAATCGCCAAGGCTGTTTCTGATTTCTGTCTCTCTGGCAAGACTGACAAAGAGGTGGACTGGCTGTCTTTTGTTGTGAAAAATGTTGATGCTTCTATTGAGGAGACCTTCAGGCAAGAGATCATGCGACTCATTGAAGATTTAAGAAACAGCGACTGATATGTCAGGCTTCTAAGGAAAGGGAGAGAGAGACTCCATAGGAGGTGAGCTTTATCCTTTCTCCGGATGATGTTACCTACCTTGTTATGCAGAATGGGTTGTCTTGAATGGTTGATGTTGTCGGGCATGATGTGCCTGATCTGATGTTGTGAATTCCGTTTTTTTGGGTCCGTCTATTGTTGGTACTTTCACAAGCTATTTGTCGTTTCTCTACGCATATTGGTTATCATATCATCTGTAGGGGGACTGCCTTGTTATCCCCAATCTGCTGATTTTACATCTCTACTCTCACAGGCTACACAATTTATGTCATGTTCTCACTTCTCATTTGTGAGGCTTCTGCACATCTAAACTGGGATCCCCCCCTCTCCAATTCTCACAAAACCACCCTGGAGGTGGGTTCAAAGAAATGATGAAATTGAATTAGCGTTGGGTGTATGTGATGAATAAGTTATTAGTGAATAGGCAATGTAATGCTTTATTAGTTTATTAGTCTTATTCATACCTTGTTAGAGGAGAAGGCGTTGTGAGGGTGATGGCATCCTACGTCGCAGCCCTCTGAGAGGAGGGCGGGCTGCAGCTGGGAAGTGGAGTTGCATGCAAGAAAGTGAGCTAGGTTAACGTTGAAGTTGAAAAAAGGAATTAAAAATTAGCTATGGGAAACATTCGTTTTTATGATAATGTTTTGGGATAAAATCTTTGACTAAAGTGAGTTACGTTTTTAAGGAATTGAATGTTTCGGTATGAAATCTTTGAATAAAATTAACTATGCAAGGGAAACATTCATTTTTATGATACAGACTAATAGTCTTTCTCAATTCAATAGAGTATTTCTCACACTTTTCATTTATAAAAAATATTAATTAATGAGTAAGATGTTTTTTCACATCTAAATAACTTTCATAAAAACAAACAATATATTTTAATAACTACATTGAAATTTTAAAACCCAAGATATGACTAGAGACTATAATTGTATTAAAATATAAAAAAACTTTTAAACAATAATTAAAATAATCTCCTCACTTATAAATAAATTTTATACTCTATACTTTGTATTTGTTTATAAATCATTTAAATGGAATTTAAATGGAGTTAGTATGATTATATTTATTTAAATACATACACCTACGAAATAAAATACTTTTTGCATTTATAAACAAATTTCATATTTTTTGACACTAAATATTCCAGGTAATTTAAGACATTGAAAATGTAAAATCAACATTTTTGTATGAAATATTTAAATAAATTTATTTAAGGAAGAGAAATATTAATTTTTATGATTATTCTTTCCCAATTCAAAATTTTTTACTACCTTCATTTATAATAAAACTTTTAATTATTCAATAAGATGTTTTTTTAAAATCTAAATGAATGTCATACGAGTGTTTATGATATGTTATAGTTAAGTTAGTTTTGATTTTATTTATTGTTATATTGATGTACAATTAAAACAAAAGAATTGATTAAAAAAATGACATACTTTATCCATCTTGAAATAATAAGCCCCCTTTTGATTCAGCACAAAATTTTTAAAAAATAAAAATATGTGGTCGAAAATAGTAAAAAGAAGAGAAAAAATGTGAATCAAAAAAGCTTTTATAAAAATAAAAGAGGAGCCTCTTTAGACTAGGGTTGTAAACGAACCAAATCGAATCGAATATTCATGAAAAATATTCATATTCGTTAAGATGGAGTGATATTCGAATTTGAATTCGGTTCGAATATTTTTAAGATTCGTATTCGGTTCGTTTAATATATTAAACATATTCGGTTCGTTTAAAAATATTTTATAACCATTTGATATATATATATATATATATATATATATATATATATATATATATATATATATATATATATATATAATTTGTATAATTAGATTTATATTCTGAATATATTTGTCAAACTCACGAATCGAATACTCTTGATTCAGATTCGTATTCGTATTCGTATTTGGATTTGAAAAAATGAATACGAATCACCTTAAACGAATACGAATCACGAATCGAACAAAAAATATTCGATTCATTTACAACCCTACTTTAGACACCCGAAAGAGGATGTAAGAAACTAAGAACTACTTCGTACTAAATCTGTCCTAGATATATTAAAAACTTTTTTATCTAATTAGTATACCATTAATTTTTTTTCTGGTATTTAATTATAGGTTAAAAGGTTAATAATGATTGAATGTAAAAAATCAATACAAAATAAATATTTTTTTTTTGGAAAACACAAAATAAATATTTTGAGAAAAACATGGTATACTCCCTCCATCTAAAATATTTGTCACACTTGCTTTTTCAGCAGTCGCGAGAACTTTTGTTTAATCTACGTTCTCATTAGTTATTTGATAAAATAAAATATTCTTGACACCTCTTATTTCGAAGAACTTTTCGTGTAGTTTTTTGATATGCGAATTTTATTTTTTATTTCTAACTAATATGTAAATAAATGAATTGAAAAAATTTGATATTTTATCTCAATAATAGAAGTGTAACAAATATTTAGAGACGAAAAAAGTATTATTTTCCATCAAAGAGAATACTCGGGTATCATACATTGACCACAAAAAATGAGATGCCCTGAACCTCCCGCTGCCCAACTTAGCCCAACTACGAATTTGGGTCCGTGAAATATGTCGTTTTTTGTAGCTAGTGGAGTGACTAAAATGCAATAAAAAAACATGGATCCAAAGTTGAATAAATAAATAAATAATCAATGGATTTCGGAGAAGTTTACTCAAATTTGAACCCGAGCCAAGATGCTGACTTTCAGTTCTTCAATAGTTTGAGAAAAAAACGTATAAACAGATGGAAGAAAGACCAAAATATGAGTAAAACGACAAAAACAAAAAACAAAAATAACACACTCATATTTTTATCCCTACAATATGAATTACAATGTGAATAGTGTTACTATATCATATAAAAAACACTATGAAATGTTAATATACGGTGTCACATCATGAGAATGTAAAATTCTATTTTGAGATAAAAACATGTCTTTTTTTGGTGATAAAGACCATATTTACATTTACTGTGTAATTTAAATGATTTTTTAAACAGATACTACATCATAATTGACTTAATAGTTACGAAGAAAAATATTAAAATCGAAATTAGCGTTGAAGTTTGAAAACAAAACAAGAATTGGAGTTGGGCCATATCCAAGTTTGAATAGGGCCCTTTTGTGAAACAAGGCACATAATGGATCATTGTATGCATCTATCTACTATAAATATACATACATAGATCTCCAAAATCCTTGAATGATTAGTCCTTAACCTATCACTAATCACCTTTCATTGTCATTAGCAATGAATCAACTCCATACATCATTGCTCTTCTTCTTCTTCTTACTTCTCCACATATTGGCTTCATGCAATGAAGAACAGGTCCTTGTTTTCATCTCATCATCATCATCTACCCATATTTTTTTTCCCTTGATATATGTTTAATTAAATAATTACACTAGTTTTTATTTAGGTAATTAGAGTAATAATTTAATTATACACAGGTTTACATAGTGTATCTTGGAGAGCACAAAGGGGAGAAAGAGAGAGAAGAGGTTGAAGAAAGGCACCATTCATATCTGGTGTCAGTGAAGAGGAGTGAGGAAGAAGCCAAATCTTCTCTTCTCTATAGTTACAAGCACAGTATTAATGGTTTTGCTGCTCTCCTCTCTCCTCATCAAGCCTCCAAATTATCTGGTAATTTATCATTTACTCTATCTTGCTAAATTTCAATTTTCACTCGGGTAAATAAAATTAATCCGACGTTTTTTTTTAATTTAGGGATGTTTTTCAATTCATATATACTTGAAGGGGTTTAATTTCTAAATTACATTTAGACTCTATTTGGTACACGAAAACCAAGTTATGGAATTAGAATTAGAAACTTCTATTTCGATTCTAGTGTTTGGTAGCATACAAAAGTATGTTGATTTGGAATTGGTAATACAAAAAATGAATTGAAATGGGAAAATCTAATTGCATCAAATTCAGTTTTATAGAATTTTAATTCCAATTCAATTCTGATTCCGTCAATTCTATATACCAAACAAACACAGTCTCACACAAGAGATGTACAGAGAAATTAAAAAGACTAAAATAAGAATAAAATATAAAGATAAGCAAAATGAGATTTTCATATTTTTATTTACCAAATAAGACGTATAATGTCAATAATATCAACATATACTCCTTCCGTCCCAAATTATAATGTCTATTTACTATTCACAAGGTCAAACTTCATTCACTTTCTTTCTCTATTTTCTTTAGCAATTTGATAAAATAAAATATTATTGTTACTACTAGTTTTGTAGATCTTTTGATATAATTTTTTAATATGTAATTTTTATTTTTTAATTCTATACCATTTGTCATATAAAATGATTTAAAAATAATTTCAGTCAAACATCGTAAACTGAAACAGGCGTTATAAAATGGGACGGAAGTAGTAATACTTTCTTCTTTTTTTAAAACTCCTTTTTTACTTTTTCAACAAAGCACTTTTACGTTTAAATAAAAAATAGATTTTACCCCTACTAGATCATACCTAACCTATCATATCATATCTATTTACTATCAATATACCTATCATATCTTATTTTTACATATTACGGAGTATATCAAAAGCAAAATTAGAAAGTCAAATATGAAATATACACTCATTATCCTTCCTAATAGTCAAAATAGGAATGATTTTTGCAAACAAATGGAGTAAAAATGTTATGAAGTATGAAATATCGATATATAGTGTCATACTGTCATAGTGTAAAAATTCTAATTTAGAATTAAAAAATGTCACTTTTACTTTTTTTTTTGACAACTGTCACTTTTACTTTGGGATAAAGGTTATGTATTGATCCCACTTGGGTGATTTCTTTAGAAGAAATTAGACAAAAAATAAATAAAGATCAATTCAACTTAATACTCCCTCCGTTCTTAAAAGCAGTTCCTCTTTCATTTTTTTCACTTCCAACAAAACACTTCCACTTTCTATTAAAAAACCACTTTTACCATTACTTTTTCATACCCTACCTATCACATCATACTTTTTTTCTAATAATCTATCCATCACATATTACTTTTATTTATCACATCAGGGGCAAAATTGGAAGTCAACTATAATTTAATACTTCCTTATTTTTGCTTTAAGTCAAAATAGGAAGTCTTTTTGTAAACGGAGCCAGTAAAACGGAGCCTTTTGAAAGGTGTCATAAAAATGCGCGAAAAGCCGAAAACTCTGTTCAAAGGGATCAATTCAAGATTAACGCAACTAACGCAAGGATGAAATACATACTATTTTGACTAATGTGTGAAATAATGAATGCGTATTTGTAGTTAATTTTCCAATTTTGCCCTTACTATGACGAGTTGGAGTAAGATGTGATATATAGATTATTCGTAAAAAAATATGATGTAAAATACGTTAATAAAAAATATAGATAAAAGTAAATTTTTAATAGAAAATGGAAATATTTTGAAGAAAGAAAAAATATAAAAGAAGAAGTATTTAAAAAAACGGAGGGAGTCTTATCCCAGATATGTATAAATCCCATCATGGCCATAAGTCGAATTCTCTTGTAATACTCTTTTGCACTGTTAGATTCCTAATATATATGAAAGCAGAGTGAAACTCTCAAACTTATTTTAGGTGAAAGTGTGTACTTTTTGGGTCTGTTTGGGAATAGCGTTAGAGATTAGCGTTAGCGTTTTGGATAAAATTTTAACGGTGCAGATTACTTTGAAAACGCTGTCCGTAGATAGCTTTTTCAAAACGCTAACGTTAATTGCTAAAGCTATTCCCAAACAGGCCCTTTATCGATAAGATCGATGACTCGAACTCAAAACTTTCCACAATGAAAGAATTTTAAGTGTAAAGCGGTTAATTATCATCTGACCACTCCAACTTGTGGGTCCGGATACAATACAAAAATGGAAATTTAGCCAATAATTATTTACAAAAAATAAATTATAATCTGGTATTTAATTAATATAGTAATAGTTAATTCACACAAATAAATATAATAAAATAAAACTCTTCAATATATTGATGTAATAGTATATGTTTACAGAGTTAGAGGAAGTGGTTTCTGTGTATCAAAGCAATCCAAGAAAATACAGAACGCATACAACAAGGTCTTGGGAATTTTCAGGATTGCCAGCTGACAACACCTTCAACAAACAAGATTTGCTCCTCAAATCTAATTATGGGCAAAATATCATCATTGGGGTTCTTGACAGTGGTATGATTACATAATTAATTTTTAATTAGTGGTTTGTTTCTTCTTCTTATTCTTAATGCATGCATGTGTAGCCAATAGTTAGATAACTTTTTCAATATGTTAAACTTATGCCTTTTTTCAATTTAAAAAAACACAATTATATTTCCATTTCCTTATTTTGTCTGTTCTAAAATTATGTTTCATTAACGTTTTGGATTATTTTAAACGGTACAGATTAATTTCAAAACACTAAAACTAAGTAATGGCGTTAGATAACATTTTCAAAACGTTAAAACTGTATCGTCATTTTTTTTAAAAAACACAATTATGTTTCCTTTCTTTCTTATTTCGCCCGTTCTGAAATGACATGGTACCATTTTCGTGTACGAAATGAATTAAAGAGGCATTGTCTTGTTCTTATTTTGTGTACAAAATAAATTTTAATGGCATACTTTTTTGCTTGTTCATCGGATTTTGGACACATATTTTGCGATGTTTGACTTATGTTATTGAAAATGATGAATGGGGGCATATTATAGGGTTGTGGCCAGAATCAGAGAGCTTTAGAGATGATGGGTTGGGTAATATTCCAAAAGCATGGAAAGGAGAATGCCAATCTGGAGATGATTTCCACCCCTCTCATTGCAACAAGTGGGTATTTCTTGCCCTTTTTTCTTCACTAGAATAAATAATTACTCTTCCAGTCCCCATAAAATCCAAGAATCATGTTTCATCACCTTGTTAAATTATTGGAGACTTTTAACCGCTAACACTATGCTCGGTTCAAGGAATTAGGAAGAAAAATTTTAAAAAAAATGTGACCTCTCATTTTCGTCACAAAAATGCATTGGAAAATTTTCTTTTTTTTTCTCTTAGTTCATTTTGTCTTTCCATATTCTTTTTTACTCTTCTTTTCTTTTCTCCTCTAACAGAACAAGAGAAATTGTTTTCCATCTCATTTTTTTTCTTTTCTCATTTAAATTCTTTGAACAAACATAATGTAAAAAAACATTAGTTTAACTATATTTTACAGATTTAACTAAGGAAACTTGTAAATTTACACCAATAAAAATGATACCAATACGTGACACCAGTAGTTTTGGTACCTAAAATACTTCGTTTATAAAATTGATAGTTCCTACCCCAATAACCCCCTAGACCCCCCCCCCCCCGGACCCATCAATTTCACCCCACACCCACCGACCCCACCAAATCGCCAATTTGGGACCCCCCAAATCGGCGATCTGGGGTGTAGGGAGGGCTGGGGTGGGGGCAGGCTGAAATTGATGCTCTCTTTAACAAAATATACTTTTGAAACAAACATAACACTACTCTACATATTATTTTAGCGTGACAAAATTTGTAAAAGTACCATAGTACAAAGATGTGATAAAAGTACATAAAATGTGGGGTAATTAAAAAAAAGTCCACCAGAAAACAAAGTGTTGTGGCTAAAAAAGAAGAGAAGGATAAAAGGTTGACAATTAATCCACGGGATTGCGAAATGTGTTTTCTTGTGAGGATTGATTCTCTTCTCGCCATTTTTCAGCAAACACTTTGACCCATTTCATGTGATAGACGAGTCTTAGAGCTAAACATGTGGGCCAAGCTCCAAAAGTCCAATCTCCTAAATTAACTTTCCGTCTCTATTTCCGAGTTTTGAATAGCTTTATTTTTAATTTAATTTAATTAATTATAAATATACAATTTACATATTCAAAAACATCAAAAAGCTTACAAAATTGGAGGTGACCTAATTATATTATTTTATCAAATGGCTCTTATAAGAGCAAAACATAGTTCTTATTACTTAAATAGGAAGACATGTTTTTATCCACAAAATAAAATTATCGTTTGTGGTACCTACAGTGCTCCGTTTGTAAAAATGACGTTTTCTACCCCCTATCTTCCCCCCTAAACCCCTCTACCCAACCCCACCCTTGCCCCCCACCCCAACCATCCCCTCCCGCTCCCCTCCCTACCTTGGCAGTATACTTATACTTAGAGCTGATAAATTGGTTGGTCAGGTCACGTTCGATTACATTAGATTCAATTGACATTGGGTTCGAGTTATTTCGAGTTCGAGCTGAGAGCTACATGTTCATGACTCAGTGTCATTAGGTTCGGGTCAACCAATGGGTTATGATCTTTATTCATTTTTGAAATTTAAGTAATTGTTATGACCAGGTGCCAATATTATGAACAAAAAGAATTAAATATGCAGAATTTTTTTTTTAAAAATAAGATAATTATACGATATTATTAAAATTTTGTATGAAAATATAGATTTATACTCCTCCATCCCAAAAAGATTTACACGTTTCAAAAACATTGTGTCCCACAATCCCTTACCCATTTCTATTAAAAAACCACTTTTACCCCTTACTTTTTTAAACCCTACCTATCACATCATACCTTTTTTCTAATAATCTACACATCACATCATACTTTTATTCATCACATCAAGGGTATTTTTGGAAAGTCAACACAAAATTATCTCTCCCTTAATTTCTATTTTAGTCAAAATGTACCCATCTTTATGGGACAGAGGGAGTATATTAAAAATGGGTAAAAAGAAAAAAAATATTCCCTCCGTCCCGGAGTATTCGTCCACTTTTGACTTTAGGAATTGTTTATCTAAGCACTTTGACTCATCAAATTCTCTCAATGTGTAAACCTAAATATAGTCATGTGTGATCTTGTTTGATTTGTATTAACATATAGATTATTAATGTATAATTTCTATAATTTTTTAATATACAAATTACAAGATAAAATGAATTAAAGAAGTGTATTGGATGGTGTGTAAAAATGAAAGTGGACAAACACTCTGGGACGGGTCGGTCACTTCAAGTTCGGGTTATTTCGGGTTCGGGTTAAGAACTGTATGTTCATGACCCAGTGTCATCGGGTTCGGGTTGACCCAACGGGTTATTACTTTGGTTTTTTATATTTTTAAATTCACATTTCCACTTATATTTTTTATTAAATAAATTTAAAATATCAAAAAAAAAATGTATTAAATCTATAAAATTATTTTATTTTAAACTTTGAAGTAATTTTTAGATATACAAATCAATATAATGAATCTTAAAATGTTTAAGTTTCGGAAAAAAGTAAGATAATTATATAATATCATTAAAATTTTGTCTGAAAATATAAATTTATACACTAAAAACGAGTAATAAAGTGTATGATTTTGAAAAATTCTTACTTTAGCGGGTTGGTCAGGTCGGGTTCGGTTTCGGTCGGGTTTGACCCATTTTTAGCGGGTCATTTCGGGTTCGGTCAACAAAACCTTTGTTCAAAACCCAGTGTTTTCAGGTCGGGTTGTGGTCAAAAACAGGTCGGGTCATTTTTTTGCCAGGTCTATATTTCATATTAAAGTATATAATTTTAAAAATTTCTTGCATTCGTGGGTCGGTAAAGTCGGATTCAGGTCCGATCGAGTTTGACCCATTTTTAACGAGTCATTTCAGGTTCGGTCAATAGAATCTTTATTCGAAACTCAGTATTTTCAGATCAAGTCTCGAGTTAAAACCAGGTCGGTCATTTTTCCCGGGTGTACTTATACTCCTCCTGTCTCACTAGTGCCTTAACTAGAGACCTACACATCATTTCTTTTAAATAAAGAAATAATTTACAACAATGCTCCAATAAATTTCTAATTTTACAAAAATACTCTGAAAATCAATTAGTTATACCATTACTCTTAAAATTACTCTCTTTCTACATAAATACTCCACCCAGAACCTTTCTTGGACAATAAAATTGTGTAATATTTAAATGGATTTTTAAAGTGATGATTTGAAAAAAATTACTTTTTCTTTGCTTTCATAAAAAAATAAATTAGTTATTTCTCCTACAACTGAAATATTAATCACGTCTCTCACAACTAGGACATGTCATTTTTTGTCTAAAGTTGAATGTTAGAAAAAATTATGAGTTGGAAAAAATGGGAAAGAGTTAGAAAAACTTGGAAGTTAACTTTTCCAACCCAAAAAAACAAATCCTAAAGAAAGAGATTGATATTTGAGTTGGAGAAATAATAAGTAATTTATTTATTTAGTATGAAAATTAAAACAAAAGTGATTCATTTCCAAATCATCACTTTAAAAATTAATGTAGATATTACACAATATGATTGTGAAAGAGACGTAGCAAGTGGAGTGTTTTAGTAAAATTAAAGTAATTGTGGTAGCAATGATGTAATTAATTAATTTTGGAAGTACTCTTGTAAAATGAGAGATTTTTTGGAATACTAAGTTTATTCAAGCCAAATTAAAACTTTTTTGGCCTCTTTTTATAGGTTTTATTTGTCAAAATATCTCGTTCTCGTTTGATATTTGTCATAATTTTAGTTTGGGCTTTCCTAAAAAAAAGGCCCAAATTTCCCAAATTCCTAGCTCAATTACAAAGTGAGAGTTTTTCTGTACGGGTGCTTATTAACTTATTACATATAAGCAATTTTAATTTATAAGCTACTTATAAATTAAAAATTCTTTTGCGTAGATAATATGACTTAAATGATATAATGGGTGAGGAAAGTTTTGTAAGTAATCTAGTCAGACGGAGAAACAAAAAAATTAATTTAAAAATAAATAGTTAAATTTTACTTATTTTTTCTAGCTTAGACCTATATTAATCAATTTATAAGTTTGTAAGCACACAGAAACATGTGATCTACTGATTTATAAGTTTAAAACAACTTATAAACAGTTTTGACTCACTTATAAGCACACAAAAACACCCACAATTGCACACTCCCCCTTCTAATTGTAAATCTAAAAATTTAAATTTTAAAACTAAAATCCAAAAATTTAAATTGAAATCTAAATTCCTAAATACTAATATATTTTTGAGTAAATTTCTAAAATGGTTCTTTTTAATGAATAATTGAGATTTATTTCTCGCATCAATCTTTTGTAAAAAAATATCACTTAAATGGCAATTAATTGGAAGGTATTGGGGTATTTCTGTTATATAAATTTAAAGTAAATTTCCAAAATGGTCATTTCTTTACAATTTTATATAAAATTAAAACAAACATTGACAATGCATAATTCTTTAATTTTAAAAATCTGTCAAATTACTTTAAAATATGAATCAAATACACATCCTTAATTAGAAAAGAACTTTTTCAAAAAATACTTCATTAGAAATGATCATTTTCAAAACTTTTTTTTAAACGACATTTTCTACAAAAGACTATGTAGAGAATAAATCTCAATTATAAAATACTCCCACCGTCTCTCTAAGATCTTCTCATTTTGAATTTTTGAGATTTTTAAGGAGAGTTAAAAAAAGTAAAAATTTACCATAATACCCTTAATAAAAATGGGTGGAGTATATTAAATGAGTTAAGTAAGGTGTAATAAATAAAGTAAGTAAGGGTACTTGTGGTATTTTAATTGTTAAAAAATTAATAAGAAGATCTATGGGAAACGGAGGGACTACCACATAGGCATTTAAAACTTAGTGATGACTCATTTCGGAAAGTATCCTATTAGAAATAACTAATTTGAGAATTACCTTTTTTTTATCAGGAAGGTAATTGGCGCCAAATACTACCTCAAGGGATATGAAAAATACTATGGTCCACTGAACAGGACCCTAGACTACATGTCTCCCCGAGACAAGGACGGCCACGGAACACACACCTCCTCCACCGCCGCCGGCCGGCGAGTGGCCAACACATCCGCTCTCGGAGGCTTCGCCAGCGGGACAGCATCGGGAGGTGCGCCGCTGGCCCGCCTGGCAGCGTACAAAGTGTGCTGGGCCATCCCAAAGCAGGGCAAGGAGGAGGGCAACAAGTGTCTTGACGAAGACATTCTGGCGGCCATGGATGACGCAATAAGGGATGGTGTGGATGTCATCAGCATCTCCATAGGAACCACCAAGCCCACACCGTTTGACCAAGACTCCATCGCGATTGGTGCCCTGCACGCAATCAAAAATAACATTGTTGTGTCGTGTAGCGCGGGGAATTCAGGCCCTAACCCGGCTACCTTGTCTAACACAGCTCCTTGGATCATCACTGTTGGGGCTAGCAGCCTAGACCGGACGTTCATGGCTCCACTTATACTGGGGAATGGGGAAAAACTCACGGTATTTAAGTTCCGGGGACATTTTATTTTCGGGTTTTGACTTTTTTTGGCTTTGACTTATGACCCCGGACTCAGACGAAGTTGGGGTCGTACTGGGTTTTGACTTTTTTTGGTTTGATGTTTTTGGCTTGAATGTTGTTGTTGTGTTTGAAACAAAATTAGGGACAAACTGTCACACCTTACAAGCTGGAAGACAAAATGTACCCTTTGGTTTATGCAGGCCAAGTGGTCAACTCTAATGTTTCCAAAGATCTTGCAGGGTGAGTAATCACACTACTACTTGATCAAAATATACTTTGTATATATAGTATGTTTTTATCTCTACCAGTATTGCTTTTTCTTTTTAGATCCCTATAAAGTTATTTTTTGTTATTCAATATTGTAATTTACATCATATTCTTTGTATACACTCTCTCTGTCAACCTAAATAGTGATGTGGCTGACAAAGCTTCAGTCCAAGTTGCAATATTGTAAGAACGAACTATAAAAATAATAATTTTATAGAACCAAAAACACTATTTGCAAGGGCAAAACCACATATATTTAAGCTTCATAGATAGAATAGACCTCAAATGATAATTCAAATAAAAGATCTAGCAAGAATATGAACTCAACTGCAAAAACCCCAAAATCTATCTTGGGACATTTGCAGGCAATGCCTACCGAATTCTCTATTGCCAGAAAAAGCAAAAGGAAAGATAGTGATGTGCATAAGAGGGAACGGGACGAGAGCTGGAAAGGGAGGGGAAGTGAAAAGAGCAGGTGGAGTTGGATACATACTTGGAAACAGCAAAGCAAACGGAGAGGAAATCTCAACCGATGCTCATCTCCTTCCAGCAACAGCAGTGGGCTACAAAACTGCATTAAAGATTATCAAGTACATACAATCTACAAAGGCTCCAAAAGCCTATATCTTTCCTGCTCAGACAATATTGCACACGAAACCAGCACCTTCTATGGCGGCCTTCACAAGTAGAGGACCAAGCCCAATTTCACCCGAAATTCTCAAGGTAACCAATATATGATCTGATGAGTTGGGTTCACATTTTAAATAATGCTCTGAAAGTTCTTTTACAAATGATTGTAGCCCGATATAACGGCGCCAGGGCTTAATATATTGGCCGCATGGAGTGAAAAATCATCACCCACGAAGCTTGACATTGATCATAGAGTAGTTAAGTATAACATATTGTCAGGAACTTCAATGTCTTGCCCCCATGTAAGTGGTGCTGCTGCACTTCTTAAGGCAATTCATCCTCATTGGAGTAGTGCTGCAATCCGATCAGCTCTCATTACTACGGGTCTGTTCATTTACATATTATTGATACAATGGTTTTTGGGGTTTGTTTGGGCTCATTTGAGGTGAGTACCTAATTTAACCTGATTTGTGATGAGAGTTTCCATTTTTTTACTTGGACGCAGCTGAGTTGAAAAACAATATGGGGAAGCAAATAACAGATGCAAGTGGCCTCCCGGCAGATCCATTCCAATTCGGGGCAGGACATTTTAGGCCATCGAAAGCTGCAGATCCCGGGCTTGTCTACGACGCCTCATACTTTGATTATCTTCTCTTCCTTTGCGCAAATGGAGTTAAGGGCATCGACCCATCCTTCAAGTGCCCCAAACACACCCCTTCGCCTTCCAGCCTCAACTATCCCTCCCTTGCAATTCCTAAACTCAAAGGGGCTGTGGTTGCGAAGAGAGCTGTCACAAATGTGGGAAGTAGTGGAAGTGTTTACTCTGCTAGTGTCAGGCCTCCGTTTGGATTTTCCGTTAAGATCTCTCCTCCCATATTGTACTTCAACCGGACAGGTGAGACAAAGAGCTTTACTGTTACTGTTAAAGCACGCAGTGAAATGAAGATGAGCATGGTGAAAGACAAGTATGAATTTGGATGGCTTACTTGGAACGATGGGATCCATACTGTTACAAGTCCCATTGCTGTGTCGTTGGCATAGGCTATGTTTTTAAGTATACATTTTTTAGAACTCAAGAACGATGATGTCAGCAATCATTGACTTTCTTCATCCCATGCATCTGTTCTCACCTTAACTCGTTCACCCTTGAAATGAATATATTTCCATTTCTTCAGATACCTTTTCAGAACCATATTCTTTTTGTCAAGCTGCCCAAGAGTCTGGAAAGCCCTTGCAATTTTTTTTACAGTATCTTCATCAGGTTTTACAGATAATTCTTCCATGTCTGCAAAAACCTGAAATTTTCCATCCATGTTCATTGCTTCATTCATTGTCAAATTCAAAAAATGTTTAAACAACACTACTACTAATATTCAGATAAAATATAGCTTAAACAAATTTAAGCCAAATTATTTACCAAAACAACTCGCCACTAGGAAGATCACAAGCAAGCAAGTTCATTACTCACCTCTATGATCTTATCCGTCATATTGTGGTGATCGTATAAAGAAATTATTCTAGAAAACAACCACTTTGAGATGGAGCGAGTGTGCGTATGAAGGATCATATTCCATAACATCAATGCCTCATCTACTCGGTGATCCATATCAAATGCAAGTAGAAGCAAATCATAAGTGCCCATTGTTGCGCCTTGACCTTTGTTCAACATCCACTTGGCCACCTAAGCATTGAAATCCATTGTCATATGAGTAGTGGATATAAATCATTGCAAGCATAATTAAGAACTTGATGCCAAATAGACCCCCTCCAAACATTATAGTTATGCATGAAGCACTAGTAGAAGTATACATTACCAAGGTGAAACATTAAACAAATAAAAATACCATCACAAACCTCATTAGTGGACAGATCCAAAGTTTCGAATGAAAATCTCATACCTGAATTAGCCGTGTCCACTGATGCCGCTTCCTCAGTATTCTTAATGCCTTAGCGACTGCAATCACTGGAAATTCAGTTTCCCATGCAACCCACTTATCTAGTGCACCATAAACGGCATTCTTCTCATTTGGAAGTCCTGATATCTGCAAAGTCAAAAGCACAGTGTCTTGACTTAGCAAGAAAACTTGTGTTGTTAAAGCCAAGGCATTTGTTGATCATTTATTTTACTTACAATTCTAACAAGGTTCTGTGCCTTCGTACCCGACCCAGTCGAATCTCTTTTCTTCCATAAATGATGTTCTTTCTTTCCCCTTCTCTGAAGTGTGTTCCTGCACTTCCCAATAAAGTAAAAATTAGCAATATGGGCATATGTACCTTGACAAAAGAAGATTTAATTTGATATCGGATTAAATATTTTGAACTGATGAAACTCACTTCTCAGCAGCATTGGAAACAGTCGAAAGTGATTGAACGCCAGTTACCTATATATTAAATTATAAATTTCAAAAATGATTGATGGTAATTAAAAATTGCATAGAGAGAAGGAAACAACGACAATTGTTAGGAATCAGAGATCAGAGGCGGTCAAGCGGAAGCGAACAAACACACACACACAAATAGCAGAAAATAAGAACACGAGATTTAACGTGGTTCGGTCAGTAACCTACTCCACGGGTTGCAACTAGGGTTTATCTTTTATTAGGTGCTCACAGATTATAGTTACATGATTGGGTATTTATAAGATATAAATTAGGGTTAACAACTTGCTAAACAAGAAACAACTAATGGGCCCTTTAATTAATAACTAAAACCGGCCCCCCATATTTCTTCCCTTTAACCGACTGGGCTTAAAGCCCAAAGCTCTAAAGCCTTCACTGAATAACCCAACAACAATAACAACAACAACAACAACAAGTCAACAACAAGAACAATAAAAATGGAGGTGCAACTGAGCAAGGATCATTTTTCTTTCCTTTTGAGTTGTCACTGCATTCTTCTCGGTCTTTTTGCGAGGAGAACGGTACTTCAAAAACTGAATTTGAAGGGAACCAATCACCTTAACGCTTGAGATCTAAAATGCCACAGACAAAAAGATACACATCATGAACACTATGAGTCTGTTTGGATCCCATAAAATACTATGGGAAAATAGGAAAGATAGTATTGCTAAAACTGGAAGGAAAAAAAGTGGGGTAAAACAAAAGATAGAAAATGCTCATTAAATTTATTTTAGATATCTGTACATACTATTTTATTTATCTATATCTATTTCCTAAAGACTAAGAAATCTAAATATATTACGGAGTACTTTACAATGACACGTTTGATTTTCATATTCAATTTCCAAGGTAAAACCAAACATCAGAAAACGACTTCTCTTAGCACATTTCCCCTTCCCGTAGCATTTTCCGGGACTCAAACATACCCTAAAAGTACAAAGATGGGATTATTGAAGGGTATTAAACAGGAAACAAAACATCTAAGCATCACCTGTTTTTGTACTAGTGCTGAAAAGTGGCAAGGAAATGTATAAGCACAGCTGCTGTATATCATACTCATGTTTTCTCCTTCGGGAATTTATAGAGAAGCACACATTTGATTATGATAACGCCTGTTTGAATGCATTGAGAAATAAAAATTATGAGTATTGCCTCAAAAGTCAAAATATTACTAGTAGTTAGAACTCCGAGAACTATTTACATTAACAATAGGAAGCTAATAATCGTATATCAAATTTGAAACATAAATCTATTAAGCATCAGGAAATCCTGTTTGCTGCTCATGAACTCAAATCCCTATGGAATAAAACATAGTGATGGACAATGATTAAACATTGTATGATGATAGGTCAAAAATATGCATGATCGAACTATTGGGATAACATGCTCCTATTGAGGAAAAATATGCAAGAATAGAGAAAATTAGCAATACAAGAAGGCCCAATAACTTTAGCGTGGTTCATTTTCTCAATAAACCTACATGCACAAGAACACACTATTTGTGTTTGGAATACAAATCACAGTTTCAAAAAAGGTAAAGGATTCTCACAAAGTGTTCGAATTCTCAACTAGTTCGGGAGCACTCTCTCAACAAAATTACTCTCTAAAATTGTTGTGGAGCTCATTCCCGACACAAAATTTTCTCTCTTTCTTATCTCTTCCTCCCTCCTTTTATCTCTAGAAAGGACTCTCATGAAGAGGCTTTCATAGAAGAAGATTACTCCATTCCTTTCCTCTCTCTCTAGAGAGGTATTCTTAAAGGAAGCCCATGTAAGGTGAGGAGCTCATCTCCTCCTCACCGCCTCAAGATTGAAGTCTTTAACTTCAATTTTGTTGTCTTCTCGTTAGTCAATGTCACAATACTTGACTTTCTCTCTTATTTCCCTTTTTTCTTTTGCTTAAATAATTAAGATAAAAATGTGAGGATTTGTTTGCACCCAACATGAACTATGTACACTTTAAAATAAATTCCTAGACAAAGTGAAGTTTGAGCTGTAGTCTTCCGACTGAAGGTAATTGCAATTTGAGACACAACATTATTTATGCTTCCTGCTAAGCACTATTTATAGACTCATTTTACATAAATTAACAAACATAGCAAAAAAATGGGAAAATTACACATACAAAAGAGCCAAAAAGCTCTACACGCGAATAGCCTCTAGTAAATACAAATGGATAAAATCACAAAATTGAAAAACATAGCACAACAAATACTCATCTGAAACGTGAAAGTAAGATTTGCAGAATCGTGTTGCATCGGAAAATGTAGGGATAATAGAAGAAAAGCATTTCATATGCGGAATTTCTTCCATATAAAACTCCTAAATGATAATAACATCCACTAAAGGGGTGTATTTAATTCAAATTATAAACGATTATGTCAAAAAATTTATAACTCAAGAACTATGCAAAATCCAAGGATTGTTTTAATTCTTCATGAACTTGGATAGATTCTAATGTATTGCATTATTAGTATAGTATTCCATAGTGCCATATCTGATTGCTTTATTTGATCAAACACCTTTAGGGCATCCGAGAGAATTCTATACCAGTAGAGTTCATACGTACCAGCAACACCACCACATGGACGTCACAGCTCAGACCTGTTTCAATGGCCTTGGGGTGAACTTTTCTCCGGCCGTTGGATAATAATAAAAAAGGTTGGAATTGGAAGCAACAAAGTTCTCCTTCCGTTTTCCCAATGATTCGCAAGTTCTTCTCCCTATTTGTTTGAGCAGATATATTTGTGAATCCTTATATCTCTGATCTCTATCTCAATCAGCCTCCAAAACTTTAAGGGGGCGTTTGGTTCATGATGAGGAAAGGGAAAGGAAACACGAAAGAGATTGATTACTCCTGAATTACTTAGTCTGTTTGGTTCAGTACAAGAAAGGGAATAGAATTTCCTTTGTTCCTGTTTGGTTCAAAACAGGGGAATCAAATTTTTTTACACACGTATGAGTAATTTGTTAAAAACAATACTTATTTATCTTATCAAAGATACAATTAAACAAAATTCACACATCACAACATACTTTCAAGATGATATGTTCATTTCAAAAAAAACATTACCCGTCTAAAACTTCAAAAACATAACAAAAAATTACAAATTTTTAAAGTCTGTGAGATATAGTTCTCCAAGTGTTGAACATGTTTTGTAAAAAAAAATTTAAAAATTTTGTAAAAAATTAGTAAAAAAATCAGTAAAAAAATTTGTAAAAAATTTTATAAAAAACTCTAAAAAATCTGAAAAAAAATTTGTAAAAAATATGTAAAAAAAAATTGTAAAACATTTGTAAAAATTTTGTTTAAAATGCAGGGAGA